GCGCTGTGCCCGCAGTGGTTTCGCAGCGAGGCGGACGGCGGGGAAGGCGCCGACGGGCTGACGGCCAGCAAGTTCCGGGCGGACTGGGCCTACCGGCAGCAGGAGTTCGAGGTATTTCCAGGGCTCTCGCACGGCCTGGGGCCTGGGCCGGGCCTGGGCCCTGGTCGGTGGCAGTTGCGGGGATATAAACTGGGGTGATCCTCTAGGCCCCGGTGTGCTGAGTGAATGTGTACGTATATTTGTATAAAAGCCGCCCAGCTGAGCCACGGCCTGGAGGTGCTAGGGTCTGTGGCGTGGGTACGTCCAGCTTGATGGCTCCTCGTTTGTGCTGAAAGCCTGACAACCCCACGGGCAGTCGCGGTGACCTGGCAAAGAGCCGTCCTGCCGGCTGAGCTGCGGTCAGGCCACGACTGGTAACTGTGTTCTGGCAAGCTCCCCCAGCCCAATGTCTTCTTTCCAGGAGTCAGCGTGAAGTCGATGTAAACTGGCTAGAAATGCTGCTCTGCACCCGGAGCTGATCCAGATCAGGCTTGCACATCCGAGTGGTTCAGGAGGGAGCCGAGCTGGTGTTTGTGGCCGTGGAAGTCATGGTCAGCCAGAGTTAAGCATGTGCATTTCTCTGCTCCTGGGGATAATACCGTGTTCCACAAAGGCTGTCAGATCGCTGGCAACCCCCTGGCTGCTGCTCACCTTTCTCAGAGCTCCCCCCGCTGTCCGGTGAAAGCTGACTGTAGTTGTCAGGCTCCTGACGCTTGGCTTATGAGCCTCATCATTAATTGTCCGATCTCTCTGCTGCCTCCCCTCACTCTGGATGGCTAGTTGTGCCTCTGGGGTGCATTTATGTTCCCCATTTGTGTTCCTGCCTGCTATAGTCCTAGACCCTGTCCTGACTGCCTACTTCCTGAGCCACATTCCTGATTATCGGTGCTCTCCTGCCTCTGTAGTCCTAGTTACAGGATCCAGTCTTTTGTTTCCTTGTTTCCTGGTCAAAATCAGCTGCTTCTGCCCTTGTCTCAACTGTAATAGCATCTTGTTCCAGGCTATGGTTTGCATTACAGGCTCCCTGATTTCAAAGCCCTCAGGCTGACTTCTGACTCCACTCCTTTCGCCTTGCCCATCAGATTTGTGGATCTTTTTGTACCTCAGTGGGCACTGACTTCTGCTTTTTAATGTTATTCCAGCACTACTGTTGCCTTGTCTATACCCGACAGATGCTTTCCAGTCTCGGCTGAGACGCCCTGAAGGGATTCATAAAAGTGTGCTGAGAAGAGAGATGCCTGAGGCTGCGGCCAGACATGGCTGCTGACCCTCAGGAAGAGCAGATTGCTCCTTGCTGTGCACTGTGCTGCCCTCTCAGGGGAGAATGACACCCCCTCAGGTCTGCTAGTGGAACAGACCGTTGCATCCTCACCCTCTTCTGTCGCAGTGATCCATGTTAAAAATGTCTAGTTTTCAGTTCTAGTGCTAACCTGGATCACTGTGACAGAACCAGAACCAGACTGCACATGAAATTACCAGAAACAGAACCAGACTGCACACAAAATTACATTTTCACCAGTGGCTGCTGCACTCACTGGGCCGAGGGGAGCTCCCTCTTTTGCTTGAGAAGGAATGCGAACTTAACACAAGGGAAGAAAAATATTTCAGCCGTTTTGCTAGGAAGTATTTAGGGTGTGTCGTCTGGGCGCTCTTTCTGTTAGAACCATTTAAGTTTTCAAGGAATAATTAAATATTCATTTTGAGAGATGGGAGTATGAGCACTGCTCTTTAGTCTTCTGGTCTGAGCACTCACATGGAGGGGGAGGAACCAAGATTCCAGTCTTAGCTTCACTGAATACTTAATTTAATGTATTTAAATGTTAATTGGAGTCCTTACAAGTGCCCTGAGCATTGAGCTACAGAAGTATTGCTCATTCTTGTCTTTTTCCTTAGCCCAATTAATATTTAATAATTTCATGCAAATTAGAACCACCCTACAGGAACAATGGAGGTTCACCTTCCCTGTGGTATTCTCCAACTTGCTGATTATTCAGGTGAGGTGAGGTGCTTGCAGGTTCAAACCTTCCCATGGAGAATGTCATGGATTTGACACAAAGTCCCCCAAATTTAGGATGAGTGCTCTGATCATTGAGTTGGTAGCTGGGGGAAAGGTGCCTTGTGTCACAGGTTGCCCAGGTAGGTGGATGATCCCTTCTGGATCAGGCCTGATGGGGGAGAGGTGGACAGATGTGTGGTGAATCCTGCCAAGGCTTCAACAGGAGTGAGGATTGAGGTTGCTCATTGCCGTCTAGGCTTGGCTGTGTAGTACCGGGGCCCTCGTGTGTTGCTAGCATTGGTGGTAGCTGAGTCCAGAGAAATGAAAATGTGGGCTTCAGCTTCTGAATGCCTTTTGTGACTGTAGTCATGAACAAAACATACCGTGAGGCTTACCTTTAAATGAAAACCTCTCTCTGTTCTGTTTGGCTTTTCTTTTTGTCGACACTACTAGAAAGCCCTGTGTGAATACTCGAACTGCTTACTGCTCTTACCTCCCAGTAACATTGCAATGAGACGAGATGTCCAAGAGGGCCAGGCTCGGTGTTTATCTCGCCTAGGAAGGCATAAGGAGGCTCTGGATATTGCAGAAAAAATGGTAAATAATGCAATCTTTCTTTTAGGCCTTGAACTTGAAAATATTGCCAGTGGTTCTTTTATATGGACCATTTTCTGGAAAAATAATTTTCAAGTGTATAATCCTTCAGGATGTTCAGTGCTCCGAGTATTTGGTAAACAGAGGGTAACTGTCACTGCAGATATAATCACTCTTTAGAAATCAGAACACCCTGTACCACAATGAGCTCCCTGTGCAGGGAGGCTGGTAGTCCTGGAAGGGACTAAATATCATGCTCTGCCAGGCAGAATTAATGTAATGTAATAGGAATTATAAGAAAGGGAATAAATGAATGCTTAAGTCTTTCCACTATAAAAGTGATGGTTCAAAACTCCCTTTTATTTCCATATACTTGCTGCCAAACTGCCACCAAGAGAGTATCTAATCACAAGTTGAGTTTTTCTCATAAAGGAAAAAGTCCAGAGGCTCTGAAGTCTGCTAGAATTTTACTGTTGCTGTTTATTTTATACAAAAGGTGTTTATACTACAAAGAAGGGCATCTGTGTAAAGCTCTGAAAGCAAATAAACAAATGATAACATTTGGGGCCTTCTTGCCTTTCAGGCTGGGACAATGCAGCTAGAGGTAATGCTGTCAGCTTGATCATGCATGATCTGTGTCACGTCGTATCATTTAAAATTAAAAGAGCCCAGTTTTGCACAATTTAAAAATTACCTGTAGTGATATTTGTGTATTATTATTCAGGGAGACATTTTCTTAGGCTCTGAAGGATGATTCTGTTCTACTTCGGTTTTTAATCTATTATCTTTTGTTTCTAGAGAAACAGCGCTACTAACACAGATCACTTAACGACGGTTCTCAACCTGCAGTTTGCCATTTACCAGGGTCTGGAGAATGTAGAAAAAAAGATCACGTGTCTGCAGCAACTGATCTGCGTACATCCTTTCAATCCTTGGTACTGGAAGTTACTTGCTGAAGCTTATACGAGTCTTTTACAGAGTTTGTCTCCATTAGTCATTCCAGAAACAAATCCAAATCAGTCTGAAGAGGTTAGTGTAAGTGATAGTAGTTTCAAAACATCAACTGGAAGAGAGATTAATTTGCAGCCTCACGGATCAGATGACCAGAAAGAGGGCCCTCGGTCCAGCCTTGCTACAGAAACAAAGAGGGAGAATGCAGTGACTTGTAGGAGCAGCCAAGCTGTAAAAGAATTCCTCTGCACTTTGGAAGAACTGGAAAGGACGGATGAAGGGAAATGCACAGCCTCCGAGGCCTGGGAGCAGAACATGTCGAAGAAAGTTGGGATAAAGGCATGTGCCTCCTTTATTAGAGCAAGGTAACTAAACATACTCTTGGAGTAATGTTAACTTCTCCCAGTAGAGAACATTTTAAAGCATATTTTTCCCAGCCTTAATATTTTCAGTTTACATTTTCAATTTAAATGCTTGTTTCGGCATTGGCAACGCTGACTTAGAAGCACCCTGCTATTGCTTCAGATCTAAAAAGCAAAATCCACTAGCATGGTAGCCGTGAACAGCCTAAATCTGAGTGGAAGGAGTAAACCAGTGTCATGCACTGTTGAGAAGTAAAGTGGTTTTTAATGACCTTATTATATGAATCTTTTCAAGTCATTATATACAACAGCCTGTTAGAGCATGGCTGTTTCCTGGTTTGGTATTAAAGATGCAGCAGCAGAAGTGCCCCAAAGGGAAGGCCAGCCAGTCTTCCTTCTGCGAGTGCCACCTGTCTTATTTGCTTGAAGCCTCACGCTTGAGCGAAAATGTATTTTATAATAATACCCCAATCTGCATAATGGATGAGGTTGAAAAATGAACTCTGTGACAACTGATTGACAGAGCTGCGTTAAAATGCTCTTTCTTTTTCTTCCCTCTCTTCCTAAAACTGTTACACACAACAAAAATCCCCAAAACATAATCTTTCAAAGAGATAATTAGGATCTGTTTTTGTTAAAATAGTCTTGGATTTCCCCCCCCCCGCTTGCCTCTCTGTAACGTATTAGTCACTGAACGTATTTAAAGCCATTTTATGAACTTCCAAAAATGTTTGCAGAGAACACTTTATAACTGCCCTGTAGTAGCTTTTCACTGTACTCAGACTAAGAGACGGTAACTTTAATTGCTACTTGGAAGAAGTTAATAGATTTAGTACTGATATTGAATATTAAAGCTACCTTCATATTAAAATAATCTGTGTTGCTTGCTTCAGTGTGTGTGGTTCAGCATTGAGACAATTCTAAATTGTGGGATTTCCTTGCTTGGCTGCACAGTTTCACAAAGTGTTATGGTGGTTTATATTTGCAGATACACTTGTCCAGGGGAAGCTTCTCCTCTGCTCAGGGCTTACGCATTAACTAGGTTGTCTAATATTTTCAGGTCTGTTGGATTTTAAGTGAGGTGTGGATGTTGCATAAACATATGTGCAGGGTAAATTGCACCTGGAAAAGGGATTTTGTAGGAAATAAGTTTGTGTGTTAAAGCATCACGAATAATTGGCTCTTCTAGTTTTGTCAACAAAAAATAAAATTGGAGAAATAGTTTTGTTTAATTTTCGTTCTTTCTTACATTATGTTGATGCGAATTGTGAAGCAAAAACGCTTTAAAGATTAAAAATACTTTACTTTGAATTTCCCAGTCAAAACTTTACTGAATTTACAAATGTGTTTTTGGCTCAGACTTGTAAATTTTGATGTTTATAATGCTCAAATGAAAACTTTCATCTAAGATCTTAAGTCTTCTCTTCATAAAAATATACACTTTTATTATAACGTGCTTCATTTAACTTTGGTAAATGTGATACAAAAAATTATTGTTGTTCTTTATGCGTAAAGCTTGGATTAAAGCTTCAGTAGCGATACTACTAAGTCCCAGTAGTCCCTTGGTTGAATATGCGTAGATATTTCCTCTGCTGACATGTTTTACAGTCCTTGTGTGAGGAGGACTCTGGAAACTGCCACTGCTCTCTCTGGTCGAGCTGTTGGTGATGGGGTCGCTCTGTGATGTGAAGCCACGTTGTGAGCACAGCGTTTAACCTTCACCAAATCATGGTGGAGACTTCTGGGGCACTGCCTTGAACATAAAACTGTGATGAAAGACTTTAGAAAATATTCCAGGGTTGGCCTGCGTGGGGAAGATGTTTGATATTTGTCTAAAACCCCCAAATTTCTAGCTTTTCAGGTTACAAGGATAATCACTGCCATAGGCAAAAATGCGCTGCTGTCTTGTTAGGCCTTAGTAGGGATGTGGGACACCTGATGGACTGCAGTTAGTGCTAGCAGATCTGAGCTTCACTTTTGAATTGTGTGACGAATACATGGGGAGAAAAATGTTTGCGCAGAGCAACCAGAGGTGCTTGGCATGTTGGTTTTCAAAAGTACTTCTTAGTACTTCTGTCACAGCACGGATGTATCGTACCCATAGTAGATTGATACGGATGTATTTATTTCTTTGCAGTTTTTGCGCTTGGCAAAAGTCAGGAAGAAGAGCTGTTTTTAAAGTATTATAGTTTGTTTGGGTTTAGGTTTGCTGACTTACTCTTTTGCCAGCTATGCCTTTTGTTAACTGCCTTTTTCATTTCAGGCTTTTACTTCAGCTTACCCAGTTGCAACAGTCGTCCTTTGCACTAGAGAATAACGTAAAAGGTCAAAAAGAAATTGATGACAAAGTGGCACGACTTAGTTTCAATGAAAACTCCTTGCTGTTAATGACCAAGGTAAGGGGGTATTTCATTGCGTGCAAGTTCTCAGCTGTACGTAGGCTGGTTGAGGTACCCGAGCCAGTTCAGGCACAAAGTCCTGCAAGTGTGACGCTCCCTTCAGCTAATTAACTGTGCCAGGAAGCAAGGTAAATTAGCTGGGGCGGGTTATCTGGAACTGACAGTGATACCTATATAGCCCTGGCTTGTGTCATGCAGGTGTATCTCTGTTCTGCTGAGATTCTCCTTTCGGGAATGGTCAGGGTTGTTAAGTTTCTCATTGAACCTGTATTTGCAGATGCATCATCGGTGTGCATTTCCTCGGATGCAGATTTTATCTCAGGAATTTTTGGTGCCACAAAGTGAATCACAAGTATGAAATGGAAGTGGAGGTTACTTTGATGGCCACAGCAGTATTAAACACTTCCAGAAAAAGTATTAAACGTTTTCAGAAAAAGCCAGAGGCATCCTTTTATGTGATTTCTTTGTTTGGTTTGATGTACTGGGTTCTAGTTTTAAAGAAATACAAAGGAGGAGAGTAACATTGCATGACTTTATTCATAAAGATTAAACATTTTTGGTGCTATTTATAGAGTTTCTAACTTTTATCTTTAGGAACAAAAGGAAGCCAGCGAGATTCTAACTTTGCCGTCGGTGTTACAGCTTTAAGTTAGTGAAAGCCAAGCCATTGCCGGGTTGGCAGGCAGTCTTGTGGGATTTCATCCATAAGAGGGCAGCAGCATGCAGTGTAGCTCAGGTTTTGAAAAGGTTGGGGAAAGAAACTTCTCTCCTTCTGTCACTTGGTCCGAGACCCACCAGGCAGAGATCAGAGTGTTGGTGCTGTTGCAAGGTGAGCATTGAATGCAGAGTTGGTGTTGAGATTTCTGCTGGTACTTAGAGAGTAAAAATCCCCCCGTACGAGCATAGCCAGAAGCTGGGCGGGGTTGTGCAGTTCTCTGTGTTTATTGCAGAATGCAACAGGCAGACAACTTGATCGTGACTTGGAAACTTCTGGACAGCATGTGGTTCATGTGTCAAGGGCTTTTCTTGTAAAAATCTGTTATTTATGTCATATTTGGTGTTTTCTCTGCAAGTTATTTTCTTGTTTCCCATCTTTCTTACTTTGTTTGCAGGTTATGGGGCAGGATCTTATACCAGAAAAACTAAAAGAGGAATTTCAGGGTGAGGTAAAATGCATAGGCCCTTCAGCGCTGTCATCATTGGTAACTGCATCAGCCACAGAATTTGAAATCAAATGGTTCGGTAATCTCCAAGATGATTTATGTCACTTTGGCAGGCAATTCTTTTCAGATATATATCTCCCACCTTTGGTAACTTAAAGGTTTTGTTGTATTTATCCTTATATCCAAATGACTACGGAATGATACATGAAATAAAGTTCATATTAAATTTTTTAAGAGTTCTTATTGTATATTTTTTAAGAATACATACAAATCTCTGCATTTGAGCTCTTAACATCTCATAATTTTCTTTGTTTACTGATTTGTTTGTATTTAAAATAATAAGGAATCCAGTATAAAATCGAGCTTTCAGTTCAGCTTTCAGAGGTAGCTTTCCATCATAAACCTCACCGTGTTGTGCTTGAAGCACCTGTGATTTTTTGGGATGGAAGGCTTCCTTTGTGATGTCCAGTTTGAAAGTTTCTTGGTATTGAATTCTGTGTTGTTGCATTTAGAGCCATGGAATTAGCCATTTTCTTAACTCATTTTTTTAATACTTCTTGATTAATTGACATTATAGTGATTTCCTGTTCAGAGCTGGATAGCTAGAAATCTTAAACACGTTTATGCTGAGAAATTGTTAGTAAGAATAATTCCATATGTTTTAGATGTTTTAGAAGAAAAATCTAAATCGTAAATATTTTAACGTACGACTGGAAGGAGATTTTCTTTCTTCAAAGCTAAGTGTTTTTTGCAGGCATAGAAGTAGCTACAGTCTTCTCTTCAGCGTGCTTAGAGGAGGGAGGAGAAAAACTGTCAGCGTTATTTATATGTACTGAAGAGTGTTTAGTCAGATCATATCCTTTGTAAAACCCTGCAAGGAATAAGATCTTTACTGTGAAAACTGGCAGTGTTGTTTCTGTATCATACAGCTCCTTATGTTATGCTTTCAGTTGATAATGACACCACTTTGCTTTACTTTCTGAAGCATCGATGCTACGTGCTTTGGGCTTCCACAGAAGAAGGCAGAGATTATCCTGTAGTTTGTTTTGCTTGAAATAATTTACATTTCAGGCAAACAAGGTGTGCTCTTCCCTCATCTTCTCTTAAACTATGAGACTTAAATTCTTTGTAGCTTTTTGTAAAAGTGTTCTTTAATGGATACGGTTTAAAACCAGAAATCTCTTAGACATAATTTGGTGTGACGTTTCCTCATGTTTTCCTGTGTTTTCTTTCTGAAGTATTGAAGAGTGCTGAAACTTTAAATAACTCACAATTGAATGGTAATTCACCGTATGTGAACACACTTTGTACCTGCTGCTTTTAGGTGAATTGTAAAGATACAAGAGACTTTTAGGGAACCCGTCACTAACCCTTGGTATGGTATAGCCCTCTGCGAAGCTGACTGTGAAACCTGTCTGGAAAAATGGAATATCGCCTTTAGCCATGTCAAATTATCTTTGATAGTTTGGTGACTTAATGCAATTAAACCACATCCTGGTCAGCTTGTTACAAAAGATGATGACTTGGCAAGTGTACTTGGCTAAGCATTAATGCACTCGTATTACAGAATATTTGGTTTAGTCATGCGTGTGCTTTGCTAGGTGGAAATTTTTGTGTGCGTGTGTAGAGTGCTATATTTGGATGGCAGTGAAGCCAGCCTGAAGGGCTGGGGATGCTTTTAAGGCTAACTGGTGTTATAAGTTTTCAGTAGAGACTGACCATAACATACTGTAAATTAATTATGATGTTGGCATCAACAGAGGATGTCTTACAGCAAAGACACAGCAAACATGGAAAGCTTAATGCCAAATATGTCAGCAAAAAACTGGAACAGGGACTTCTGGTTCCTTCTTGAGTTTAAGGTCACGAGTAGCCACATAAAAAGGCTATAATCTTTTTTTGCCACAGCTCTCAAGTAGGTTCAGTAGTTAGGACACTGGAACACAGCTTTTGTGGAACCAGGTCTATATAGATATTTAATGGGAACCTGCCAAATGATTTGGCTCCACAGTTTAGAAAGTGGAAATAGCTTTGGAGCTGTTTTAGCAGCAAATTAAATGCTTGCCAAATGTTGTCATTTTGTGACTGAGATGTCCAAAATACACAGCAGCTAGCCAAGGTGATTTGGAAACTTTTTGGTGCGCGTGCAGATCGTTTGACTTGAGGTTGTCTCTTAGACTGGCAACACAACAGTTAACTCCCCACCAGCTCTGGGAATGGAAGGCAAGTGGCAGTTCTTAAGAACAGGCAGTATTTTCTCAAACATAACAATAAAGCAAAAATGTTGGTTTTAACTACTGCAAAGAAAACAACAAGAATGTTGTTCTGAACGTGTTGCATAGTTACTGTTCCAAATAACCAGTGTTTATTGCACTGGGGCTATGAAATATTCCTTTGTCCCACTTGTGCCTGGCTCTCTCTCATCTCAGCTACTTCAGTTCCTCCTTTTTTGGCTTGCTCCTCGCTTTTGGCATGCCACTTCTAACTCCAGTTTTCTGTTTCTGCTCATATCTCACGAGGGGCTTTGCGTTTCAGTCTGGCATTTGAATGCCTCATCGTTGCTTCTGCGTTCTGCATAATTCTACATCTGCCTGTAATAGATTCTTCATGTTTTGGCTCTTGTGATATTATTATTGGTATTGGTACGTGCACCAGTACTCCACACTGAGTTAAATAGCAAATTTTAGTATTGCAAACTGCAAGTGAGAATCTGTTAACGGTTACTGAGGTTTGATTTTATTATTTTAACACTTGCTCATGTTACAGACGGTTTGGAAAGGACCTTCTGACCCTGGTTCTGATGATTCTGAAATGATTGCTCTGTACAAACACAATCCAATTGTGTGTCTTGCTATTGAGTGTTTGAATACTGCTGGTTTTCAGGTGAGGGAACATGTTAGTGCTGTAACTAGCGATGTGAACGCAGTTGTTTCCATCACAGAATCATAGAATGGTTTGGGTTGGAAGGGACCTTCAAAGATCGTCTAGTCCAACCCCCCTGCCATGGTCAGGGACATCTTGCACTAGACCAGGTTATTCAAAGCCCCATCCGACCTGACCTTGAACACTTCCAATGATGGGGCATCCACAGCTTCTCCGGGCAACCTGTTCCAACATCTCAGCACCCTCACAGTAAAAAATTTCTTCCTTATGTCCAGTCTAAATCTACCCTCTTTCAGTTTAAAGCCATTGCCTCTTGTCCTGTCACTATGTGGTGGGTTGACCTTGGCTGGCTGCTAGGTGCCCACCCAGCCGCTCTGTCACTCCCCCTCCTAGGCACAACAGAGAAGGAGAAAATAAGATGGAAAAAAACCCTTGTGGGTCAAGATCAAGGCAGTTTAATAAAGAAAAAGCAAAGGCTGCACATGGTAGCAAAGGAAAACGACAAAAAATATTCTCTACTTCCCATCAGCAGGCAATGTCATTGTAAAAATGAGTATGAATAGTTTTAAGCTGGCTTATAAGGAATCAAGAGTCGTAACACGGGGTCCTGCTCATGCTCCCAGTCAAGAGCCACCTTTACGGCTGGCAATAAAAAAGGGAGTTTAGCTAGTGCCTGCTTTTCCTGACTTCTTTCTGGTACCTGCACACAAACTAGAAGAAAAGAAAAATGCAAGCAAATCCATTTGGGAACAATTTGGTGACCCAGGTGGGACTCTGCGGGTTCCCGACCCTTTGAGCGTGGCAACAGCATACGCCACAACCGGTACTGGGGGAGTTCTCCCAATTGTCCTTGCAGTGTCCGTGTTCCCTGGGAAGGTACCAAAACCGGGGGCAGCACAGGTCGCGGGGGGTTCAATAGGTAACGTAAAACAGGGTTTGCCGCTGGCGGAAATTCTGGGAAACCAGAAGAAAATTGGCGGTCCTTCAGGACTCAGTAAAGCTCAAGCTGTAGGTCTCTGTCGGGATGAGTGGCCAGCTGGAGCTCTGGAGGGGACAACCCCAGAGCACTGGCCCCTGGGAGGTTCATCTGATAGGAGCAGGCTGACCTTCCTGCCTCACATGCGATACGGTATAAGGCAGAACTGCCTCATATGGTGAATCCCTGCTGACTACTCTCCATCACCTTCTTATCCTTCACAGGACAAGCTGGAAGTTGTTCCCAGAATCTGTTGCTCCATCACCTCCCCAGGGATGGAGGTGCAGCTGGCAGGGCTAGCGAGGGTCATGGAAGGGGGCCGGATGCACAGGAGTGCGGTGTGCAATGGTCCAGGAGGAGGAAAGCCTGGGTGCTCTTTCTTTTCTAGGAGGAGCAACGGGGGCAGACCAGGGCACTCTCTTTTTTTGGAAAAAAAGCAGCCTGTGGCAGAAACAGTCAGTGAAATGCTCCCACGGAGCACAAGCAGCAAGCACAGGGGATGTCCTCAAGCACGTGCTCCTCTGGGTGCTTTGTGTGTGAGCAGCAGTCGCGGACGCACGCATGTGCACACGAGGTGTGCTTCATTAGCAGTCATACAGCCTGGCATTGGGCCTCACGCCCAGAAGTGCTTTAATGGGCAGCGCTTGGCACTCGCAGGAAGCCAGAAGCATCTCTGAGCCAAAAGACCTGCAGGGCCGGTTTGGGCTGGGGAAGGGACATGGGGACACTCTGGAAAGCCCTGGCCAAGCCCAGCCCATTCATTCCACTTACTTCCAGGCTGCCAGTGGGGTACTGTCCAGGCAGAAGTGGGTTCGAGGTGCCCCGCAAACCTCCTTTCCTGGTGCATGAGTGATGCCTGTGCAGACGTTCACTTGAGCAATGCCACTCGCTGTTTCGCTTCGCTTCACCCTCTGCTCCCCATGGGGAGGACATGCAGAGCAACCAGCCCCGACAGGAGGGTCCCCATCGCTGGCAACAGCAGTGGTGCTCTGACATGGCAGAGTTGCCCTCCAGAAAGCCCCAGGGACCTTCACTGGGCTCTGCAGAGGCCTTGGCAGGCCGCTAATTGCCCTCCAGAGGAAGGGCCGTCGGCCACCGAACGCTGCTGCCAGCAGTCACCACCGGTCGCGTTCCCTGGGCCTGCGAGGGGCGTCAAACCCCTGACCGCGTGTCGGCTGCTGCCTCCCTTCA